TCTAGGTGCTGGGGATATAGCAACATACAGGACAGACAAAAACTTCTGCCATCATGTAGCTTAAATTCTGGTGAGAGGAGAGAGACAGTAAACAAGATAAGTAAAATATTCAGTATGTTAGGTGGTAATAGTTGCTATGGAGAAACATAAAGCAGGGATGGAGATGGAAAAAATCTGAGGGAAGACTGCACTTTTTAAAAGGATAAGCAGAGAGGGCCTGTACAAGTGATATATATATATATATATATATATATGTATATTTTGTAATATTTATTTATTTATTTTTGGCAGCATCGGGTCTTAGTTGCGCCCATTGTGGTGTGCGGGCTTCTCTCTCTAGTTGTGGTTCACAGCCTTTTTAGTTGTGGTTCACAGGCTTTCTAGTTGTGGCCCGTGTGCTCAGTAGCTGCAGAACACGGGCTTAGTTGCCCCGTGGCATGTGGGATCTTAGTTCCCTGACCAGGGATCAAACCCATGTCCCCTGCATTGGAAGGCAGATTCTTAACCACTAGACCACCAGGGAAGTCCCTGTGAAAGTGATATTTGATTCAAGACCTGAAGCAGATGCTCAGGTGAGTCGTGAAGACATCTGGCAGAGTGTACTATAGGTAAAGAGATGAGTAAATGCAAAGGCCCTGGGGTGGAACACACCGGGTATGTCATAGGACCCACTTGCACAAAGGCCAGAGTGGCTGGGGAGTGAGGTGGGAGTAGTATGAAATGAGATCAGAGGGGGTTAGATTGCATAGGGCTTTGCAGGCCAGTGGAAGGCCTTTGGCTGATACTGAGACAGAGACTGATGAAATCTGGCCTAGTTGCCTAGCCCGGATTGAGGATAGACTATAGGGCAACAAAGGTAGAAAAAGGAAGACAACCTAGGAGGCTACTGAAGTAATCAAGAAGGCAGACGATGGTGGTTTAGGCAAGGATGGGAGCAGGATTTGTTGACAGATTGGATGTGGGGTAAAAATAGAGAAGTCAAGGATGACTCTAAGGCTTCCGGTCTGAGCAAGTGGAAAGATGGAGTTCGCATGTTCTGACATGGGAGGACTGCTGGAAGAGAAGGTTTGGGATAAGGGTGGCGATCAGGAGCTCAGTTTTTGATGAAGCTTGAGATGCCTATTAGACATTAAAGAGGAGAGGTCAAGCTGACATTTGGGTACATGAGTTCAGAGTTGAAGTGAGAGATCTGGGAATCATCATATAAGCTGCCATTTATTTTTTAAGTTTCTTTTTTTAATAGAAACTTTCAAACACATATAGAAACAGAATAGTACAATGATCCTCCATGTACCCATCACACAGCTTCAACAATCATTGCTTCTCGCTGTTTCTAGGTAGTATTTAAAGCCTTGAGACTGGATGATATCTCCATGGGACTAAGTGTAGGAAGGTAAGAGAAGAGGGTGACCAAGTCCTGGAATATTCCAGCGTTAAAAGGTTGGGAAGATGTGGAGGAACCAGCAAAGGAGACCGAAAATAAGCAGTCAATGAAATAGGAGGAAAACTAGATTATGGTATCCTGGAAGCCAAGTGAAAAAAGAAATAATCTCCAAATAACAATTTAATTGTTATTAGTAGGATAAGTGCTAAGGCAGAAAAAGAAGTGTGCAATGAGAATGCATAACATGCACTAGGCTGACTTGGGGGGTCAGGAAGGCTTCTCTGAGGATGTGACATGTAAGCTGCAGCCTTCCCTCATCTTCCGTATCTCCAACTAAAATCCTGCTTCCTCCATCCTGCTTCCACTCTGACAATCAGCTCCTCCTTTCTGGGATGGCTTTATCGAGGACTATGTATCAGGCACTATGGTGTGCTGGGGACACAGTGTTGAGAAAGACAACAGCTGTCTTCAGAGAGCTTGTACTCTAGTACAAGAGACTGACAAGTAAACAATATTGTTAAAACGTGGTGAGTGCTAACATCACCGAGGCACAGTGGGCCTTGAGATCACCAGGGAAGGGCACATAACCCATCCAGGGGTGGGAGGGGTCAGGAAAGGCTTTCTGGGGTAACACCTCTGTGCATACCCTTCAGCTTGGCTTGGCCCTTTCAAGTGTTAACCCTTGCCCACAGCCTTGGATTCCAAATATTGCCTGAGATCCCTGGCCCAGCCTAAATCCTGACCTCAGCACTGGGCTTTGCTCTCCTTCTCTCTCAGTATGAACTGTTCCAGCCTGGGTCTCCCTGAAGCCTCCTTCTGAGCTGCTCTGTTGCCTTCTGCTCTGGAAGCTGGCACTGACCTGTCCTCTCGGGAACATCAGGCCTTCCTGCCTCCACAACTAAGAGTAGACTAAGGACTCACCTTAGGGAAAATTGGTATCTGAGGAAGGCGTAAGAGCATGTGGGTAAATCAGTAACCAAAGTCTGCAGAATAGAAATCTCTTGCAATCAAGTTAAAGCCAGGATGGGAGAGAACATGTCTATCTTGTTCACCAGGAATCCGCAGCTAGGATAGCAGGGCACATGGCAGGAATAAGTGTTCAGTAAATGTTGAATGAAGACTAGAGTTCCATACAGGGCACCAGCCCTCAGCTGTCCTTCTAACTCCTGCACAGTTTTCCTAGCTCCTGTCCAGATGCAGAATGCCTTCCTCAGACCTGGAATTCAAGAGGACCCTTTGCAAAGATTTTCATAGGGCCTTGATGGTGCTTTGAGAAACAGGTGCAAGCTGTTTCACTGCCAGGCTTTTCATGCATAAATTTCCAAGCAAAAGAAACTGTTGGTATTCTCCCTGCCGTTGCACTGGACTTCTGGAGGCAGCAAGTTCCAAGGCCAGGGAGGGGAGGCGAAGGGCAGCCCTGTTATCCGTCTGCTCCGACGCCCCTTTCCAGTCCTGCCTTCTCGCTCCCCGCCGGGTGGCAGTGGCGGGGCGGGCATGTGCCGGCGTCTGCGCCCCCTCCCGGGCACCCGGGGCTGCTGTCCCTGCGCCACGGGCTGCCCAGGAAAGGAAATCCCGGAGGAAGCCATTGTTATTACCACGTCCCCCTGCTGTCGTCATTGGCCGAGGCGTTCCTAGAAGCCCGCCCCCCACACCCCGTCCCGCACAGGGTCCCGCGGTTTCTGCCCATTTTCGAGCTCGCCCGCCCCGCGCCACTTTGGGCGAGGCTACCGCATCTGAGCCCTGGAGTGAGCAGTGGCCCTCACGTCCCAGCTCCAAGGCTCTCAGAATTGGCAATGCCCCAGGCCCAGTGCGGACGGAGCTTCGAAAACCGACGGCGCCAGGCGGGACGTGCCCGGGGCCCTGACATAGGCGAGCGGGACATGAATTCCACCCCAGCTCTGACACGGACCAACAAGGTGACCTTGCTGGTGGCTTCCCCTCTCGCCTTGCTATAACCCACGGAGGGAGCTGAGGCCCCATGCCTCTAGGGGAGGTTGGGGGACGAAAGCTACCCCCACCCTCGCTCCCTTGCCCCGCGTGGACTATGGGCTGGGCCTTGCGGGAAGAGTGTGGAGAACAGGCTGGCGCGGGCCCCGTGCAGGGCGTGGGTGGAGGCGGCGCCGAGGGCGCGCGCAGACCCTTTCGTTCTTCCGTGCCGCAGCGCTCCCAGCGCAGTACGATCGCTTAGCACACGCCGCCCGCAAACCTTGGCACAAGCCGCACTCTCCCCGCCGGAACAGCCAGCCCGCCGCCCAGCTTGCCTAATCCGTTCAAGCCTCACCTCCTCCGCGAAGCTCTCCCAGGTTAACCCCATCACTTCCAACCACTCTAGCTGGCACGTCCTCCAGTTTTTTTTGTTTTTAGAAGTACGCACGGAGTCTCATTGTCTGAAAAAAACAATGTTGGGGTTAGATGACTGTCACCAGAACCCTAAATTCATTCTGACGGGTATTCTGAAGCCCAGGGTATTCTGAAGGGTGCGTTTGATGGGTTTCTCGCCTGGGCTAGCTAACGACTCTCACCCTCCACCTTCCCCATCCATGCTCACTCTTTCCCCTCATCCTACGGATCCTTCTCTTCACAGAGTGTCACAGCTTGGAGTGCACAATCCAGTCACCACCCCTTTTCATTGTACACTGGTGGCAGATGTGAGGGGCACAGAACATTGAGCATTTGAAGCTTCGACTCCAGGCTCAGCCACAGACTTTGCTGTAAGTCACTCCTTCCCCTGGGCTTTAGTTTAAATGAGGCAAGATGAAGTAATGCCCAGGAAGGTGCTACAGGTTTGGAGGTAAGGACAAGCTGACCGCAGCCTCCCTCCATGAACCTGGGGCTTGTGACCCCAGAGAAGTGGAGCGCTCTTCCTTTCGGCTGCCCCAGCCTCTAAGTGACAAAACTGCGGCTGTGTGCTCTCTCCAGTCGCCTTGTGGCGTCCTGAACCGGGGAGGGAGAGAGGATGGGGGTCCGGTCCCAGTCCTTTATTCACTGGTCGCATGACCCCGGACACTTCTTCCTCTGGGACTGTTACTCGTCTGAAAAATAGGGATAATAATGGATTGAAGGAGAGCTGGAAGCTTTTTGTCCGCCCCATGTCTCTATAAAAATAAATAATAGTGAGCGGTACAGTGCTTGGCAGCAGACTTTGCTCGCGAATTCCGACCCCACATCGGCCACAGAGGGGTTTCTGGCCGGAGTCCCTGGAGTTCTCCCGGATTTGTCACACTGCTTACCCCACATTCTCTTTCTGGTTCTCTCCTCCACACCTGTTTCTGCCTTCGTGTGGGGAGGCTGGGGCCACGAGGTGACGGGTGGTGGGGAGAGGGGGTGGGATGCCCTGGCGCCGACCTGCACGAGGCGGTGTCCCTTGGTTGAAGATTGGTTGGAAGGTCCCTAGGCTTGAGGAGCTCGGCTGGAAACTGGTAGGCAGGGCTTAGGTAGGGGCGGGGCTTGTCTGCCTAGGGGTGGGCTATGGAGGTTAGGCGTTCTCTAGAACCCGGCGGGGGCGCAGAGAGCTCCCACCGCCCCACCTGGCTCCGGCACCGGCAAATAGGGCTATGCCTACGGGGACGGGGCTCCGGGTGCGGGGCTTAGGCGTGGGGGGAGAGGCTGGGGAGCCTGGAGGCGGGGCTTGGGGAGCTCGCCCCACGCGGGGCGGGGCTCCAGCAGCCGCGGGATCTGCAGTTCGGACTGCCGGCGCCACAGTCGCCGCAGTTCCCTCCACTGTGGTGGCCCCGAGGCCCTGCGGGGAGTCTAGGGGTCGACTGGCCGCTCGGACTTGGCACGGGGTTGGCCACGCCTCTCCCTACCTCGGTGCGGCCTAGACGGTCGGGGCCGCGGGGAAATGGAGCCCTCTCCCGCCACGGGGGGCTCTGAGACCACTCGCCTGGTGAGCCCCCGAGACCGCGGCGGCGCTGGTGGCGGCCTGCGTTTGAAGAGGTAGGATTGACCTGGGTCGGCCCTCGGCTGGGGGGGGCGCCACCCTTCCGCCTTCCGTCCACTTCGTTGTCTCTCTCGGCCAGCCGGCCCAGCGCACCGCGACCCCCTCGGCTTTGTGGCGCTGCGTTCTGTCCCCTCCGGCCCGCCCAGCCAGCCCCGACCCCCGCCGCTCAACAGCCCGACATGCCTCCTCCTGGCTACCTTCTTTCTCCCGGTCCCGGGAAACTGCTCCTCGGACCGCCCCCCAAGCTTCCCGACCCCTCCGTCGCCCCCGCCGCGTCTGACTTCCCCGCGAGCGACTGCCCCTCCGTCTGGCCGGAGTCCGCGCCAGGTGTCCCGATGTACGCATTGCTCCGGGGTCGTAGGAGCCCCTCGCCGCCCAGGACCCCGGCCCTACCCTCCGCGCTCCCGGGCTCGGGGCGTCCCCTCCAGAGTGGCCAGCTCTGGGCACCCGGGCCGACTATGGGCCCGGGCTCCGCAGCGGGTCTTCCGGGCTCCTGTGGGGCGGGCGGCCGCTGGGAAGCGAGGGGGCGGTAAGGAAGGAGCAGGTGCGGTCTGGGCGGCGGGGGTATTCCCGGCTACGCACAGACGGGGCCGGGGGCGGCGAGGTGTGAAATGAGGCGCTCGGAGCGGTCGGGACAGCGGGCCGGGGGCGGCCGGAGAACCGCCTCCGCGTCCCGCCGGCCTCCCGCGCCCGGCGCCCGGCGCCCGCCGACCGCCTTGTCCCTCCGAGCGGCCACGCCAGGCCCTCCCTGGCCACCTCCGCTGGCCATTTTGTCTGTTTGCCCACCGTTCGTTTATCTCGGGAATTTGACAGGGTCTCCGGCTTTTTCTCTTGACTCATCTCTCCCTATATTTCCTTTTCCCTCCCAACCCCTCTCCCTTTGTCTCGGGTGTGGTGCCTCTGTGGGTTTCTCGCTCTTTCCCTGGATGGGGGCCGTAAACCTGGGTGGATGGGGGAGTGGATGAGCAGAAGGGAGGGAAGACTTCCGTCGGAATCTCTCCCGCGGAGGACTGCAGACGGGGGCAGCTGTGGCCCTGGCGTCTCTTCATGTACCTTTCGACTCTGCTTCAGGCCAGTCTCCCTTCTACCCTACTCAATATTATTTGTTGTTTGTCGGGGGTTTCAGAGGGCCAGGGAGAGCAAGTTGTCTTTCCTTCTCTGCACACAGCAGGTAGCTCCCCGCACCCCTACACACCAACAATGAGGCTTCTTTAGTGCCCAGTTAATGCAAAACAAAAGGGAGCAGCCTGTTGATGGGTGACTACCTTGATGCCTGGCTGCGCTGTGTCTTACAGGGCCAGGAAAGGCACCTTGCCCACTGCCTCAAAGCCACTCACTCTCTGTTTACTCTTCAGACCCGCATCTCTGACTCCCAGCTTGTTTTCATTCTCATATGACCATTAGTCACCAAATCCTGCAGTATTTTCTGGAAGAGGCTCTTCCCTACCTGCCTGCCTGTCTCTAAGATTCTGCGCAGGGAGCCTCTGGCCTTGTCTGTACTGGACCCCTCCATCTCCTCTCTTCTCTTCCTCCCAGACTAGTCCATCGTCAAGGTCATCCATCTCACAGATCAGGAAAGATTAAATCAATCAGTGTGTCTCCCTTTATGTTACTTTGAGCCCATCACTTTCCTCCAGCCCTTCCCCTGGTTCCTCACACTTAAGCTCCAAGCTGCATATCTTGTCATTGTCATTCCATGTGTCTGGAGCTCCTTTCTCTACCTAGGTCTTCTCTTAAACATCTCCTCCTCTGTGAAGGTCTCCTCATCCCCTTTAGAGTTGGCCACTCCTTCCCCTGTGCTCCAAAGTCCTTTGTTCACAACCCTCCTGGCCCCAGCTTCTCCTTGCATAGTCAGTCATTTGCGACACTTCTGTCTCTCCCACTAGATTGAGCTTCAGTACGTGTACGCTGCTTGGTAGTCTCACTGAGGAATGAGGATGGATCTCAAAGCCGCCCTCATCTCCCATCTCCTCTGGAAACACACCTGGAATCATACACACCCAGATTCTAAGTCTTGGAAGGGGATTCCAAGTAGTTAATCTACCTGCCAGCACTTGAATTTTCCCTAGAAGCACCAAATGTGCCCCCATCTCCCTCACAGCTGAATTCGCCCATTGGGCAGAGCTGTCCTCAGCCAGAAGGCCCCAGGCACCCTTCCCCACTTCACTGCTGTGATCACATTTCTATCTGGAGCCTTCATTTTCTCTCAAGGGTATTCTTGTGACACCTCCATGAGTATTTCTAGAACTGTACTTTTCTATTTAGGTCCTTTATGCTGTGGAAGGTTCTCTTCTCCCTGGGATTCAGGTTGGGTAGTAATGGGGGTGAGAATTAAGCCAGAAGGGACTGAAAACTCAGTTAGCCTGAGCTCAGCCTGTGGCATCCCCAGGTGAGGCCTCCAGCCCCATTCATTCGTCCAGGGAGGCTCACTGCACTGTGCAGTTAAAGTGGCCTCTGCTGGGTGCTTATGGTCACACTGAGGTCCAGCTAACACGTGGCAGACTCCAAACCCAGCACTCCTCCTGCCACCAATCCCGGCCACATCAGTCTGCGCTCTCTCCTCCCCATGACAACCCAGCTCTGGAATCTGGCCATTAGCTCTCTGTGCCAGGAACTTCAGACTTTTTGGGTCCCAGCATTCTACTCTCCTCTTAAAGGGCCACGTCTAGCTGAATGTCTTGGAGAGGGAGGGTGAAGGACCTGGGAGTGGAGGCACCAGGAGGTAGGTCCAGCAGGGAGGCACTAAGGCCAGGACCATGTGCTGAGCCTCACCCCACACTTTCACACCACTTCCCCTTCCTATTGCCTTCGCCGGGCACGTGCACCTCCTCTTTATCAAAATCCTTCCCATCCTTCCAGGCCCTTCTCAGGGGCCTCCTTCAGTTGTGTCCCTGATTACCTCATTACAGTCAGTATGTCCCTCTGAGCCCTGATGGTGCTTTAACTGCTCTAAGGCAATAGCTACCTTTTGCTACATCTCACAGTATTTAGGTACACATTTGTCTTGTTCACCAGAGGCTCCCAGAGATCAGAAAGGATATCCTATCCCACTTGTATTCTTCGTGGTGCCTATCATAATGAATTGATTTGGTTGAAGTTTAATCTCAGCTCAACCACCAACTAGCTGTGTGGCCTCCATAAGTCCTTTCCCCCTTTGAACCTCATACTTCTAATTCTTTAATAAGTGGTAGACTAGACGTCTCTAAGGTGCTTTCCATGTGTGCTCTGAGATTCTGTGGCTCTGTACGTGAAAGGAAAAGGGAGGCTGGAATCTGAGTTGTCCATTTAGCCCCATCTCTCCTGTGGCCCTCTGTCCACAAGGCCTCGGGGAAGGATAGAGTGGTGGGACATCTGATGAAGCCAGTCTGGGGGATCCAGGACTGGGAGTGAGAAGCAGGTTAGCCCTTGAACCAGGCCCCAGCTTGAACTGGGCTGCCTGCCTCAGTCTCTTCACAGAGCCCTCCGAGCCCCTCCCCGAGGACCCCAAACCCGTGGAGATGTCCTTCCACCACTGCCACCGGGACCCTCTGCCACAGCCAGGTCTCACCCCAGAGAGGCTGCAGGCACAGAGGCAGCTGTGTGCCGCCTGTGCTGTGTGCTGCGTCTTCATGGCCGGGGAAGTAGTCGGTAAGTTGGAAAGCGGTTCCTCCAACACCATCTTCCGGATGCCTGCCTAAGCCACTTCCCACCCGGAGTCCCAGGAATGTTCCTGGGTGGAGATGCAGAGAAGGTGGGGATGGCTGGGACAGGGGAGGTGGGTGCCCAGGACTCAGGAAGTGGGAGAGGGCGAGGGACAGCACCAAGGGAATTCAGGGCTGACTCATCAGTATGAACTGGTCTTGTAAAAGCCCTATTTTCTTCTTATTAAAATACGTTATTGTGGGGAATTCCCTAGTGGTCTAGTGGTTAGGACTCCGCACTTTCACTGCTGAGGGCGAGGGTTCAATCCCTGGTCGGGGAACTAAGATCCCACAAGCTGCGCAGCGTGGTCAAAAAAATGTTATTGTAGAAAAACTAGAAAATGTGAATGAGTGAAAAGAAAAAAAACCCCAAAAACCCACGTGTAATCCCATTACCAGAGAAAAACTGCTGTTCACATTTTGGTATGTGTCCCCCGTCTCTTTTCCATGCCTCTACACACACTGCATGATATTTTCTAAATGGACCAGACCATATATCGCTTTACCCTTACAGGTGGGTATTTGGCGCACAGCCTGGCCATTATGACTGACGCAGCCCACCTGTTGGCAGATGTGGGCAGCATGATGGGCAGCCTCTTCTCCCTCTGGCTCTCTACCCGTCCAGCCACCCGTACCATGACCTTTGGCTGGCACCGCTCAGGTAAGGCCCCTGCATGGTCTGATGACCCACCCAATCTTGCCAGAAGGTACCTCTCAGGGTCCTGGGCAGCCCTCTGATAGCTTGTCTTCCCCTGCAGAGACTCTGGGGGCTTTGGCCTCTGTGGTCTCCCTCTGGATGGTCACTGGCATCCTCCTGTACCTGGCCTTCATCCGCCTGCTGCACAGCGACTACCACATCGAGGGGGGTGCCATGCTGCTGACCGCCAGCATCGCAGTCTGTGCCAATCTGCTGTACGTTCCAGTATGGAGCAGGCACCGTGTGGGATTCAGGGCGAGGGCTCCTCCTCCAGGATGGGAGAGCAGGCTCTCCTCTCCCGGACAGACTCGCAGCACGCACATGCTGTTCTCATCTCTCTGCCCTAGGGATGCCTGAGAAGGGGCTGGGGTAGAGACCTAAAATTCAGAGTCAAAAGACCTTTGTTAAAGGCCTGCTCTGTACTGGCCACCCTGCTGGGGGCTGTCATCAGCATTGTCTCATTTAAAGCTCACAACCAGCCCATGAGGTAGGTAGTATCACTTCTGGTATACAGTTAATCAGATAGATCCCAAGAGGTGACCAGGGGACTTGCCCAGGGCACATAGCTACTTTAGTAGCAGGGCCAGGATCTGAATCCACGTCTCTGGCACCACGTATTCTTGCCCCCAGGCTGCATTACTTGTCTCTCTTGGACCGTATTGTTTTTTTCCTGGGACTGGGAAAATAGGGAGAAAATAGATGGAGAGAGGGCTCCTGGGGAGGTGAGAGGAGGAGGTGTGGAAGTGGTCAGAGGAGCCTGGAAGCAGGCCACCTGGGCTGAGCTGCTCTGCTTCCCCCTCAGAATGGCCTTTGTGCTGCACCAGGCCGGGCCCCACCACAGCCACGGGTCCAGGGGGGCAGAGTATGCACCGCTGGAGGAGGGGCCCAGGGAGCCCCTGCCCCTGGGGAACACCAGCGTCCGGGCGGCCTTTGTGCACGTGCTGGGGGACCTTCTGCAGAGCCTTGGGGTGCTGGCCGCCTCCATCCTCATCTACTTCAAGGTACCATCTGTGCAAGCCTGCCCCAGCCTTCCTCCCCCAATTCCACCCCCCAGCCCCTCCTTCCCTGGACCCCCACCCACCCCACTCCATCTCCCAGCTCCCCAGGACTCCTGGCCCAGGGTTATAGTCCGTTTCACCCCAGCAGGGTTCTCAGGGGCCTCTCAGGTCCTGTTTGTCCAGGATGCCCCTAGGTCTTCCTCTGAAAGGTCCCTGATTCCCAGGCTTAGAGCTTTCTTTCTCTACAGCCTCAGTACAAGGCAGCTGACCCCATCAGCACCTTTCTCTTCTCCATCTGTGCCCTTGGATCCACCGCTCCCACCCTCCGAGATGTTCTCCGCGTCCTCATGGAAGGTGAGTCAGACGCCACTGCTCCCCACCCCCCGGGGCCCTCTCTGACCTCACCCCAGGACTAGGCGCCTCTGTCTTCTCTGGAGAAAGTGTGGGGAGAAGGCCTATTGGTGGAAGGAGGATTCGGGGATGGGGTAAACTGTGGGGATCAACAGGGTGAGCGGTACAGGATGGGGGAGGTGGGGTCCTGGCCTCTGGGCAGGAGTGGCCCTGGCAATAAGGCGCGGTGGGTGCTGCTTGCAGGCACCCCCAGAAGTGTGGGGTTTGAACCTGTGCGGGATACCCTGTTGTCAGTGCCAGGAGTTCGGGCAACCCACGAGCTGCACCTGTGGTCCCTTACGCTTACTTACCATGTTGCCTCCGCACACCTGGCGATTGGTGAGTCCACACTGACCCCAGCCAGTTACTTTCCAGAAACATTTCTCCCTTCCCGTACCACCATCCAAACATAGGAAGGTGGTCTGAATTAACTGCGAATGTTTCCATCTCTCTGTTTTTGTATCTCTCTCTCTCTCTCTGTCTCTCTCTCTCTCTGTCTCTCTCTGTCTCTCTCTCTCTCTCGGGGAGGTTTCACTCTCTCTGAAGTAGTGCTGGGAACCAGCAACCCTTTAAAAGGTCACTGGTACCTACAGGTCTCGTGATGGGGCACAGTTAGGTAAATTATGGCTCCTCCACTCAGTGGAGTATCATGTAACTTTTAAAAATTGATGATTATGAAGACTGTAGGGCAACTAGGGAAAATGTTTATGGTATAATGCTAAGAGAGAAAGCGGAATATAAAATTTTAGCTACATTATGGTTCAACTATTTAAAATATATATGGTGACTCACAAGCTGACAAAGAATTTCTGAGTTTCTTCCAGATGCAAGAAGCAATCAGAGACATGCAATTTGGACGCCAAAAATATTATACTTTGTAGGATATTTGATGGTAACTCTAGAGGGACAATGAGAACAGAATATTTAACATCTGGAATGTCGTGGAAAAGCGGGTGGTATGGCTGCTGAAATACACAGCTGTATACTGATACTCAGAGCAGAAGAGAATAGAAAAATAATGGTCTAGTGTGTTAGCCTAGTCGATTAGGGATGAGTCTGTCCGATCTTTTTGACAGTTTTACACTGTTCATACAATATATAGAGAAAATAAAGCTTCCCATTCAATCTTGGCTTTCATGCCATGAAAACCCCTGGGTCCCCTTCACCCATCCTTATCTGGGCCCCTGGCTGGTTCCCAATTCCCCTGGAAACCTGCTGCTTCTTATCACTCCCCCGCAGACTCTACGGCTGACTCTGAAGCCGTCCTGGCTGAAGCCACATCCCGGCTCCACTCCCGGTTTGGATTCTCCAGCTCTACCCTGCAGGTCGAGCAGTACCAGCCTGAGATGGCCCAGTGCCTGCGCTGCAGGGAGCCCCCCCAAGCCTGAGCCACGGCCGCACCCTCACCCCATTGCCAGGCCCAGGCTCAGCCCTGGACTCTCAGCAACTGCCTCCCTGCTCACGGAGAAGGGACGGAGCTGGGTCCGTACCCTTCCTCTCTGCCCGCTTCCACCTGCCAACCCCCCAGCCCCAGTGGGCAAGACCAAAGTGTGTGTGGGGAGTGGGGCCAGGGTCAGGCTGAACAGGGAAGTCAGGGCAGTCGGGGTGTGTAGAAGTCCTGTGGTCCCTGCTCCCCGTGCTCGGGCGAGCCCCCAGCCTCCTTTCCGTGCAGTTCATTTGTCTGTGTGGCAGGCTGGCTGGCTGGCTGGCTGGCTGGAGGATCTGCCTGTCTTTGTGCTGTTGGTGTGCCTAAGCCTGGGGGAGGTCAGCAGGGGCCCCCTCCCCATGTGGCTCTCTCTCTGTCTATGCAGGAGCCCCAAAGCCTGCACTTTGTCCGTGTGTTCTAGCCTTATGGTTTTGTGTGTGTGTGTGTGTGTGTGTGTGTGTGTGTCTTGGTGCTGTGGCCTGTGTGTCTCTGTGCCTGTGTGGCTGTGCTATGGTCTCTATGAGTCTGCACCATCCATGTGTCTGTTTGGGGGTCTGTCTGGCCATCCCTCTGTTGGTGCTGTGCCCTCGGCTCTCCCAGAGAGAGGGAGGACTCCGCCGCAGCTCTGCCAATAAACTTGTATCTAACTGCACCTTTCAGCCCCTGTGCTGACTCCTCAGGAGGGGGACACAGAACCGGTCACCTGGGAATGGATAGAATCCCTCAGCCAGAGTGACCTTGCACAGCTCCCCTACCCCCTTCCCACCCTCTCCATTCTCTCCACCCTCAAATATCCATTCTGATGTAGGCTGAAACCTGCCAGTCCCTTTACTGCCTTCCCCTACTTGGCAGTGTGCTCGAGCCTGGGTCCTTGGCTCAGGGAGATGCCCATTCGTTCTGGGCTTGGTTATAGGAGAAAGCTGGATAGCAAGGAGCTGAGGGATACTGGAGTCATTCTGAAAGGCTCCCGCAGGCCAGGGTGGCCTTGGGCTCGTTGGCGGGAAGCTGCAGCCATTTGGGGGAGAGGGGTTGGACCACGGTGCTGATTTGGCTTTGTTCTCAAGCTGTGTGAGGTGCTGGGGAGCAGCCCTCAGTCCCGACTGCCCCAGCCCTGCCTCACAGCAGCCAACCCCAAGTCCAGGTTTGAGCTGTGGACACCAAGGACCTCTTTTACAATTATCCTCCCTTTGCCTCATATACGTTGAATCATATATTTCGACAGATTTGACCTTACAAATCTCTTTATGGGATCGTTCGTTTTCTCTTAAAAAAACATCAAGCCCTTTGTGCTTTTGTTTTGGATATAGTGCAGGAGTCCACCGGCCTTCCCATCCTAGGTTGATATAACTCCAGCCTGAAGCAAAGACCCGGAGCATTTTCATTAGCTCATGCATATTTCTGCAAGGCGTCTCCCCCAAAATGGAAATACCTTTATTATTAAATTGTGTTGATTTTTTTAAATTATAAAGGCAATATATGTTCGCTTTAAAAACCTATCAAAGGAGGGAATTCCCTGGCGGTCCAGTGGTTAGGACTCTGTGCTTCCACTGCCAGGGGCATGGGTTCGATCCCTGGCTGGGGAACTAAGATCCCACAAGCTGTGCAGTGTGGCCAAAAATAAAAATAAATAAATACCTATCAAAGGAAAGTGTATAAAGTAGAAAGTGAATGATTCCCCTATACTCTTACTCCCAGAGAGAACTGCTATTCACAGCCTCTCTGCCCATATTTTCTTGTATGTACAAAGACTTCTTCGTAATAACATAAGAGGATTACATTATAGGTGATAACATGTAACCTGCTTTTATGATTCAGCCATACATCCTGGGTGCGTATTTCCACGTTAATACACGTAGATTTCATTACTTGTTTTACGGTGTGGTCTTTGGACCGGTTGAAAATAGGCCTCCCCATTCTGATCTTCAGCTGGGGGCCCCTCGACCAGGATGGGTGAGTTGCTGCTGGCCTGAGTCTAGCACGGGAAGCTGGGCGCAGGCAAAGGGCTAGCAGTCCTTCACACTGGGCACCAAGGCTGCCCCAGCTGCTGTCCATGCTTTGCTAGTTCCTGCTACTTTCTCATTTTACGACTCATTGATTACAGGCCCCAAGTGACAGGATGGGGGTGGGGAAGAGTGAGGAAATAGGGGAAAACGAGGACTAGATTTTTACCCTATGAACAGCCTTAAGCTGCAGCCCTGCCCTATACGCACAAGGCTGGATCCTTTTGCAGGAGAGGAAACAGAATGTTCAGGGCAGGAAGAGACCTCACAACGCATGCAGTCCATCTCTCCCATACCCCTGCAAAATGAAGAGGAAGCTGAGGCTCAGAGAGGGAAAAGGACTTCCCCAAGGTCACCCAGCAAGTGACAGGGGCAGGTGCAGAGCCTGGGCTCTCACTGCCACCCAGGCCCTGGGAGGCTTTTGCACAGTTGAGTTTCTCAGCAAAACTCTTCTCGGCTCCTTCCCAGCAACCTGCTGCTGCTGGCTAGCCCATCCTGGGGCTCTGCGCTCAGGCTCCTTGGTTCTACCTCGGCCTTCTGCTAATACTCTGGTCACTGGTAACCCCTCTGCATTCCAGCTTTCCTAATTATAAACAGAGGGGTTACATGACGTTGTGGGTACAAGTGTGCCTGGTATATAGAGGGCATGTAGGAAAGGGTTACCTTTTGGGTGGAATCTATGAGGGATTTCAGGGAAAAGGGTGACCCAGCACCCTGACAGCAGGGACAGGAACCAACATTTATTGAGCTTACACTTGGTGCCAGGCGCTGTGAGGCAGACAGTATTATCTGTGCTTTACAGATGGAGAAACTGAGGCTTACCTGCCCCAGATCATGCAGCTAATAACCGTCAGAGTTGAGATCCAAATTCAGTTCTGGCTGCACTAAGTCCCCAGCCCTTTTCAACACCACCCTGCTTTTCCACCCCACTCCAGGCATTGCTCTGTCAGGGACAGGGAAGTACAGAAGAATCGGGAGCATTCTCCATTCATAGGGCATTCCCCAGGGAGTCCAGGAACGCCTTATCTGCAGGAGCTGCCTGCACACCCCTATTATCTCCCTGACCCACCTCTCCACTTGCTTATCCAGAAGGCCCTTTCCCCTTGGTGTCCTTCCTTGATGGTAAAAATGAGTGGTGGAGGCAGAGGTGAGGACAAAGGGCCGGAAGGGAGGCGTGGGGACAAGGGGAGGCCTGAGGAAGAGCAGAGCGGGGGAAGGGCCCATCCATCAGCCCAGCCCCTGGCAGCTCTTTACACAGCTGGTTAACCAGGGGAGGAGAGGGGAGAGGGCTGCTCTCGAGGTGGAGATGTACCAGAAAAAAGGGAAAGCCAGAGGAAGATGAGGTGGACAGGAGGGAGGGCTCAGTGCAGTTGTAGGAGCACTTGAGAGAGACCAAGGAGTCAGACGGAAAAGCCAGAATGGGAGGCTGTGGATTGGAGGGCCTCCTGCTGCAGAGACAGGGCAGGTGCTGAAGGGGAAAATCTGGGCAGCTGGGCAGGCCCTGCCCTCCTCAGGGAGCTGCTCACCTGGGGGGCTGCTGGGCCAGCTGGCCATGGGTGGGGGGCCATGCTTTCCTGTTTGAGGGGCGAGGGCTGAGGACCTGGCAGACCAGGGAAGCAGCCTGTCTGTGGTCAAGAGCAAGCTCAGGGTGATAAAGCGGTGTTCTCCTCCCTCCAGTGACTCTGCTGCCCCTTCGGGGACTTCCCTAAGCGGTGGGCCCATCCTGGCTGCCTTGAGCCATGCTATCAGAGGGGGAGCAGCGCCTCCATGAGGCCTGTGCCGTGGTAGCAGCCCAGGCAGCTGGAAGACTGGAGGGAATCACAGGACCCTGAGTCAGGCTGGGAAGACCCCTGCCCCTATTCCTGGCAGATTCCCCCACCTCTGTGGAGAACTGCATTTAGGGAGTTTCTTTTATTTATTGATTGACTGACTGATTGATTGGCCTCGCTACTTGGCTTGTGGGATTTAGTTCTCTTACCGGGGAACTGGGCCCTGGCAGTGAAAGTCCTCACCACTGGACTGGTAGGGAATTCCCTAGAGTTTCTTTTATACTAGAAGGACTCTTCCTCCCCAACTCTGAGTTCCCTGGGCCTCCCTGTCCCTGCTCTGAGCCCCCTGGCCATCCCATCAGCACCTGGTCAACACCTTCCAAAGGGTGCTGGGCAGTTCCCGGGTGCCTGTGGGGCAGAGCCTGAGGCTGCACGTGCAGCCACGATCACAAATGATCCCACAAAGTGGGCCCTGTTGCCAGGACTGATGAGAGAAAGTGAGTGGGGAGCGTGGGGAGGAGGGCCCCAAGGTTGCCAGAGCCTGCACCCCACTCCTGCGCCCCATTCCCCACCCTCCCTCTGCTGCTCTCTGGCTACAGCATCCTGAAGCCCCCGGAAGCAGCCCCAGGCCTGGGCGATGCTCACTCCGAGGGCAGGTCTCCTCCTGTCTGGGCTGACGCTCTGTACCCAGCACCAATGCAGAGGCCGTGGTAGCCACCTGGGGAAGGGCACATCACAGCCCGCTCATGAGCTGTTCCCAGCCTCTCCTCCTGAGCCAGAAATCCCACTCCCTCTGTTACCAAGCTGATACTGCTCACTGCACAACAGGCCAATAAAATCAAGAGATGAGTTGTTGGGTCAAGGAATAGTGACTTTATTTGGAAAGCCAGCATACTGAGAAGATGGTGGACTGGTGTCCCAAAGAACCATCTTAACGGAGTTAGAAATCAGGCTTTCTTCTTTCTTTCTTTACTTACTTATTTGGCCGCACTTCACGGCATGCAGGATATGGGATATTAGTTCCCTGACCAGGGATCAAACCCCCTGTACTGGAAGGCAGATTCTTTTTTTTTTTTTGGAAGGCGGATTCTTAACCACTGGATCACCAGGAAAGTCCCTCAGGCTTCTTTTATACTAAAAGGAGAGGAGGTGTGGTTGTTTGCTGCCAACTTTTTGGTGCCTGAATGCTTTGTTCTTGCAGCTGTTTAGGTAGGTCTGGTCACAATGTTCCTACAAACCTCCAACAAGACAAATGTTATTCTCTGTTCTGCAACTTTTTAATCTCTATATGAATGGAAAAGTGTTATACCTTTAAAGGTCAGAGCTCTGGGGCTACCCTGTATATTTCAGGCTGTAGGCAACATTCTTAACTTGTAGCAAACCTAATAGCCTACAAAGGTTAAAAGTAAAAACAACAACAAATAAAACAAAACAAATTAAAAAAAAGCTAGATCCAATGTGGAGTCAGATTTGTTCTTCCCTATTACATTTCTAGAAGATTTTATGGTCAATTCCTAAGTGGAAGCCTCATAACTGGAGAGAAGAAAAGTGCAGCCATCCATAGCCTCCCCCATCCTAGCCTATAGCTATGATCCTAGGGAAGGCTGCAGGCTCCTGATACAGAATAGTTTCCATTCTTAAAATCTTCCCAGAATAGAACAGGAAAGCTCTGTGTAGGTGGGTCTCCAGGTGCACCCCTTTTGAGTTTTCCTATCCTGTTTGGTGCTGTGCCCATGGCACCTGGTGGCAGGGTTTACTGCCTTTCTCTCTGACCCAAACAGTCTGAACATCCATTTCCATTCTCTCGTTCCCTTTGGCTCAACCAAGATAGGCTATAAATTTTCAAAGGACGGTAGACAAAAAGCCTAGGGAGAAACAAAAGGGAACTGA